TTGAGTATGAAATTCTCAGACCCTGTGACCATGTGACCTATATGACTCAGAACCTCTTATATGTATTTTACATGCTAAATTCATTACCAGTTTTGAAAAAACAGAATTTAATTAATGATGTAAATTAGATTTTGATAAATGTTTTCCTTATAATAGGAACTTATAATATAATATAATTTGCTTATAATAGGAACCCACCCCCCGACACCACAAACACACGGCACGTACATTTTTTGTTGAATAAGCTAGATGGAAAAGTTTTATCAAAACATCATTTGTTATGAATTAATTTGAAATTTGTTCTTGTACTATACATGTTTACATGTAAACACCTTTTGGAGAATTTCTACATCACATCTGGTTGCGTCATCCATTATCATATTTTCAGATTAAGCACTACCTGGTACACCTTGGCCAATTCCCACTTCATCTGATAAGGCGACGGAATCAGCCAAGGTTTGCCGAATGGGACAGCACATGCTGCAGTAATTTCATGTGTATTGAAATAATTCATTTTGTGTTATAGTTGGATTATATTTCTTGAAGTTGACAGGACCTATGACAGTCGGTAAGTACAAGTTTAAGTATAGTTTGGGGTAAAATAAAACGAAATGCAAATGATTAGGTTAAAGTTCAAAAAGGGTCATAGATCATCGAATGCCACAGTTGATGAATTTCACATTGTGAAGTTATCTCCCGTTGTCGACGTGACATTCAGTTACTGGTGCAGATCCAGAATTTTTTTTTCGGGAGGGGGGGGGGGTCACGCCTTAGTCAAAAAAATTCCAATCCAGAATTCCCTGACAAGCAAAGGAAAAAAAAAACTGAAAACAAAAAACAAAATAAAAACAATGATAGCGGGGTCATGGGGTCAATGTTTTCTAAGGGGGAGGATGTCCAAAGTCATTTCTTATTTGCTTCAGCATAAAGTCTTATTTAAATAACAAAACAAATTCCAGGGGGGGGGGTTCCAATCTCCCTAGCCACTCCCTGTCCCTGAAATTACAATCGATATTTTGACTCCAAAATAGTAGAATTTTTTCCATTTGACTATATACATATTTTGTTTCTTGTGTTTATATTATGTGTGTCTATTTGTCTGCAGAAACTTTAACCTTGCCCTTCAGTTTTAAGGGTAATGGGCTATACACATGGCTTCCACATTTCATAGCTTAATTCCTTGTGACAAGACCTCTTATTTGAGTACCACAAATTTTGACCTCTTGATCACTTGACCTTGGATTTTTACCCATTTTTACAAGAAAAATATCAAACTTTAAACTTGGCCTAAATTTTGATCAGTAGGTGCTAAGGCTTTCATGCTTAACATGTGTATTCATTGCGAACTTTCAACAGGTATAAATATGTTTGACCTTGACTCTAGAGTTTGACCCACATTAAAAAAACCTTTAACCTTGGCAATTAACTTTTGAACAGGAAGTACTAGGGATTTCTTACTTCACATGTGTATTCCTTGTGACAAGACTTTCTTCTGATACCAACAATTTTAACCCTTTAACCTTGACCTTTGAGTTTGACATACATTTGAGAAACTTCAACCTTCACCATAGGCTGCCATATGGGGGATTAGTGTTTCACAAACACATCTTGTCTTCATTATTATTAATTGGTGGTGTCTCCATATCAGGGAAAAATTCCTGAGAGAGAGAGATGTATTCACAACAAACAAACAAATTACTAAAGAAAATATAAAACATGAATATGTTGGTCATGCATATCTCTGCAAGAAAAAAACAGCTTTTCAAATACTGTAAGCATATTGTAACCCTTTCAAAACACTCATTTGAGTTTTTCTGGTTTCCTTATCATATAACATCTGTTGTGACATGTCGTCCATCTGTTTGTCTAAAAACTTTTTACATTTTTAACTTCTCTAGAACCACTGGGCCAATTTTACCCAATTCATATAGAAATATGTACATTTGTATGTCAGACTGTCCATCTGTTTCAATAAATTTAACCTTGGTCATCACAGTCATATCTACTGAATGAGAAGAGACAAGGCATTCATATTAAACTTATGTACTAGTATTTACCTGTGAGAATGGCATGGGTTTTTTTTACATGTGACCTAGAAGTTTGACCTACTAGCAAAAAAGATAAATTGTTATAAATTCATCATTTTGAAAGAGAAAAGTTAGGGCATTCATATTATAATGCATGTATATTATTACCTGTGATAAGACCTTTCCAAATAAATCATGACTTTTAACTCTGTGACCTTGACCTTGAAGCCTAACCTACTTTTCAAAAATGTTGCATTTGCTTATTACTTTTGATTGAGAAGAGATATCACTCTCACATTTGACATGTACATTAATTACTCATAAGAATTCAAGATGATTCCCAGCATGCGATGCTTTTTTACCCCTTGACGTTGATGCTTTACCAAATTTTCAAAATATTTAACTCTCCTAAAAGATGATTAGGCTTCTGAGTAATATTAAGGAGGACTTCAGGGAAAACAGGGCTTTTTGCATAAAAAACATAATTTTTCCACCCCCAGGGCAAAATCAAAATTCCGAAAACTTACTGCACATCTACATGACACCACCAACTATCTCCCAAAAGAAGATTAGACTACTGTGTAAAATGTAGGAGGAGTTCAGGGAAGACGGAGCTTTTTGCATAATAAACGTCATTTTTCCACCCCCATTTGACCCCCCGGGGCAAAATCAAAATTCTGAAACCTTACTGCACATCTACATGACACCACCAACCAAGTCCCAAAAGAAAATTATGCTACTGTGTAAAATGTAGGAGGAGTTCAGGGAAGACGGGGCTTTTTGCATAAAAAACGTCACTTTTCCACCCCCATTTGACCCCCCGGGGCAAAATCAAAATTCCGAAACCTTACTGCACATCTACATGACACCACCAACCATCTCCCAAAAGATGATTAGGCTACTGTGCACAATGTAGGAGGAGTTCAGGGAAGACAGGGCTTTTTGCATAAAAAATGTCATTTTTCCACCCCCATTTGACCCCCCGGGGAAAAATCAAAATTCCAAAACCTTACTGCACATCTACATGACACCACCAACCATCTCCCAAAAGATGATTAGGCTACTATGTAAAATGTAGGAGGAGTTCAGGGAAGAAAAGTGTGACAGACGGACGGACGGACGGACAGACTGATGGACGGTTATGAGTAACAACAATATACCCAAACTATCTTTAGAAAGTGCGGGCATAAAAAATTAATCTTTGAATTTTCTTGATATAGTTCTCATCCGAGAGACACAAAATTGACGATGTACATATCACTTTTGAAATAGCAAGCGTCCGAATAATACATGCTTTGCCAAAAAGAGTTAATTTTCTACGTTTCCAGGATTCAAAAAGTTTTTCCATTTCATGATACATTCTCATCCAGTTTTTATTATAAAATTCCTCTTTATCATGACCTAAGTAGATACCTAAACATTTAACTATAATTTTCCTGTATATTTCTATGTAAAACTTTGGTTTGCCATTGTGGCCTCGCCCAACCCCCTGGAGTCATGAATTGAACAAACTTAAATCTACACTACCTGAGGATGCTTCCATATAAATATGATCAATCATGGCTTTGTTATTTTTTAGAAAAAATTTTTTAAATAATTTTCCTGTATTTCTATGTAAAGCTTTGGTAAAACTTTAGTCGGCCATTGTAGCCCCGCCCAACCCCAGGGCTCATGATTTGAACAAACTTGAATCTACACTACCTGAGGATGCTTCCATATAAGTATGATCAATCATGTCTTTGTTGTTCTTGACAAGAAGATTTTTAAAGAATTCTCCTATATATTTCTATGTAAAACTTTGATTGGCCATTGTGACCCCACCTGAACCCCTGGAGTCATGATTTGAATAAAATTGAATCTACACTACCTGAGGTTGTTATCCCATAAGTTTCATCTTTCCTGGCACAGTGTTTCTTGAGAAGAAGATTTTTTAAACATACCACCAAATTTTCACTATTTCTGAATTAACTCTCCGTGAATAAGGGCATGGCCCTTCACTTGAAGAAACTTGAATCCCCTTCACTTAAGGATGCTTTGTGGCAAGTTTGGTTGAATTCTAAAGAAGAAGTGAAAAAAGTGAAAAGTTTACAGACAGATGGACAGACAGGCGGATGGACAAACAGACAGACAAGGGACAAAATGTGATCAGCTTACTTGAGCCTTCAGCTCAGGTGAGCTAAAAATAATGTGAAAACAATTTCGATTCAAGTTATTTGAGAGCAATAAAATCTAGAACTGTCCAAACAGGACAAAATACCCCCCGCTGGGTTTTTCAGAGGTGCTAAATCATGAATTTTTTATGGATCTAAGAGCAGAGAGAAATGTTAAAAATTTTTTAGTGCAAATGTAATTATTCATTTTATTTTCTATAAATGAAAACGAAGGTGCAGCCTAATGAGAAAAAATAGACTAAATATATGGACCAGATATGAATTATGAACTTTTTCTGTCAGTGACCTTGAACTTGCCTAATTGACCTTGGTTCAAAGTCATGACACAACCTCAGGTCATACACAATGTTTGTGTGAAGTAGTAGATTCAAGTTTTTCAATAAGAAAGATATGGACCGGACACAAATTATGAAATTTTTCTTCCAGCGACCTTGAACTTCCCCAAATGACCTTGGGTCAAGGTCATGACACACGGTTAGGTCATGAGCAATCTTTGTGTGAAATGAGAAACTTCAAATTTCTTCATAAAAAAGATATGGACCGCATATGAATTATGAAATTTTTCTTCGTGACCTTGAACTTCCCCAAATGACCTTGGGTCAAGGTCATGACATACCCTTAGGTCATGGGCAATCTTTGTGTGGAGTACTAGATTCTAATGTTCCTATGTAAGAAAGATATGTACCGGACACAGACCGACGGACAGCTAGACAGACGGATGGACAGACGGACAAGCTGATTCCTATATACCCCCCCCCAAACTTTGTTTGTGGGGAGTATAAAAATAATCTATAAAAATTACCTGAGGTATGATGGTGAGTTTTGATCTTAAATCATGCAGTCCTATACTGGATATGTCAATTCCATCAATCAAAATCCTGCCCTTTGCTTTCTCTATAATTCTAAACAACCCAAGAGAGAGAGATGATTTTCCAGCACCAGTTCTTCCAACAATCCCAATCTAATGTCAATAAAAACAAGTTATATGAAAAACAAGAGGCCCAGGGGCCACAGCGCTCACCTGAGCACATCGGCTAGGAAACAGCACAGGACTGAAAGCTTATTACTGAGGTTGGGGGAGGGGCCTTGAATTTTAACCCCTCAGGGGGTCATGATTTGAACGAACTAGAATGTACTCTACCTGAGGATGATTCAATACAAATATAAATATCACTAATCATGGCTTTGAAGTACTTGAAAAGAAGATTTTAAAAGGTTTCCCTATATATTCCTATGTAAAACTTTGGTCGGCTATTTTGGCCCCACCCTAGCCCCAGGGGTCATGATTTCAACAAACTTGAATCTAAACTATCTGAGGATAATTTCACATGAGTTTCATCTTTCCTGTCTCAATGATTCTTGAGAAGATTTTTCCTATATATTCCTATGTAAAACTTTGATCGGCCATTTTGGCCCCATCCTAGCTCGGGGGTCATGAGTTGAACAAATTTAAATCTACACTACCTAAGGATAATTTTACATGAGTTTCATCTTTCCTGTCTCAATGGTTCTTGAGAAGAAGATTTTTAAAGGTTTTTCCTATATATTCCTATGTAAAACTTTGATGGGACATTTTGGCCCCACCCTAGCCCCGGGGGTCATGATTTGAACAAACTTGAGTCTACACTACCTGAGGATGATTCCACATGAGTTTCATCTTTCCTAGCCCAGTGGTTCTTGAGAAGAAGATTTTTTAAAGATTTTTCCTATATACTCCTATGTAAAACTTTGATCGGCCATTTTGGCCCCACCCTAGCCCTGGGGGTCATGATTGGAATAAACTTGAATCTACACTATCTGAGGATGATTCCACATGAGTTTCATCTTTCCTGGCCCAGTTGTTCTTAATGAAAAGATTTTTTCCTAAATATTCCTATGTAAAAATTTGATCAGCCATTTTGGCCCCACCCTAGCCCCGGGGGTCATGATTTGAATAAACTTGAATATACACTACCTGAGGATGTTTCCACATGAGTTTCATCTTTCCTGGCCCAGTTGTTCTTGAGAAGATTTTTAAAGATTTTTCCTATATATTCCTATTTAAAACTTTGATCGGCCATTTTGGCCCCATTGTAGCCCCGGGGGTCATGATTTGAATAAATTTGAATCTACACTACCTGAGGATGATTCCACATGAGTTTCATATTTCCTTGCCCAATGGTTCTTGAGAAGAAGATTTTTTTAAAAATGCCATTAATTTTTCTCTAATTCATAATTATCTCCCCTTGGAAAAGTGTGTGGCCCTTCATTTGAACAAACTTGAATCCCCTTTACCCAAGGATACTTTGTAGCCAGTGTGGTTGAAATTGGCCCATTGGTTCTTGAGAAGACAATGAAAATGTGAAAACTTAATGACAACAATGACGAAAACGACAACAACAACAACAACGACGACGACAACCAATGGACAAATTTTGATCAGAAAAGCTCACTTGAGCCTTCGGCTTTACTGTCCCTATGGATCTTGAGAAGAAGATTTTTTTAAGATTTTTCCAACATTATTCCTAAGTATGTAAAACTTTGATCGTCCATTGTGGCCCCACCCTAACCCCAGGGTCATGATTTGAACAAACTTAATCTACACTACCTGAGAATGATTCCACATGAGTTTCATCTTTCCTGGCACAGTGGTTCTTGAGAAGAGGATTGTTTAAAAATGCTATTATTTTTTCACTAATTCACAATTATCTCTCCTTGGAATGGGGCATGGCCCTTCATTTGCACAAACTTTTACCCACGATACTTTGTGGTAAGTTTGGTTGAAATTGGCCCAGTGGTTCTTGAGAAGGGAGATGAAAATGTGAAAAGTTTATAACAACAACGACGACAGACTACGTACAAATTTTGATCAGAAAAGCTCACTTGAGCCTTTGGCTCAGGTGAGCTAAAAATGTACAAAATTGTATATATGAGGGCTTTTATTAGAAATTTTTGAAACATTCACTTTTACCCCATAAAGGACAGAAATAAATTCATGAAAATTTATAAACATTTTATAATAAACGATTAACAAGAGGCCAATGGGCCACATATCTCACCTGAGTAGCTTTGACAAAGCTGTTCTTTACCAGCTTTCCCCCTTGTAATCCCTATTGTGACCCAACCCTACCCCATGGCCGATGGGTCAATGACCGTCATCTTTTGGACAATTTATAATCTACACTAACTCCAGATGTGTTTCTGAGAAGAAAATTTTTAAATTTTTTTCCTATATTTCTATGTAAAACTTGGGTTCCATATTGTGGCCCCATCCTACCCCTCGGGGTCATGATTTGAACAATTTAGAATCTAAACTACCCTAGGATGTTTCTACATAAGTTTCAGCTTTTCTGACCCAGTGGTTCTTCAGAAGATTTTTTTAAAGACCCCAACCTATTTTTGTCTTTTTTTAATTATCTCCCCTGACAGGACTTGGCCCTTCATTTTTATAATTTAAACTTCGCATGTACCAAGAATGATTTGTACTAAGTTTGGTTAAAATTGGCCCAGTGATTCTTGAAGAGAAGTCAAAAATGTGAAAAGTTAACAGATGGATGGACAGACAGACAGAGGGATGATGGACAAAATGTGATCAGAAAAACACTTCAGCCTTCCGCTCTGAACAAACTTAAGTTGATTCCAACCTCCTCTGATGTCATACATTTCTGCAAAAACTGTTACTAAATATTGTTAAGGTCAAGATCTAGTAAATGAAGGGAGTCTACAGATTTATCAAATTCAAGAAATGAATTCCTTTCATGATGCTTTATGACTTAAGCTTGGTCAAAAAAGGTGTTTCGGGGCATTATTTGTTGGTAAATAAGATGAAAAACCATAATTTTAACTGTCATTTTCAATGAAAAATTAAGAAAACCAGTCATGAATATGGGAGTTTTTTCCATATCACACAAACAAAATGCATCCAGATTGCCTACAGTCTTTCAGAAAACGGTAATTTGTATGTTCTTGGTCTCTTCCTTAAAATAATGTTAAATTTAATATAGGAATCCGGACTACTTTTCAGGTGATTTCAAATTGAATTCCCTGAAAATACTTTATTTTCTACATAATTTTATTAGAGCCGTAAAGTATGGGAAAAAGAAAGTTGAAAGTGATTATGACGTCATAATAGATGTAGCACCAAAAAGTCAGTCTAAGGACATTTACTAGATCTTGACCTTAAGTAAAAGCATTTTAAAAATGCATGTTTCCTTTATCTAATAAATTATTCAATCTTTAAAAAATGTTAACTCCTGCTCAGGTAGCTTCATTCTTTCTTGTACTCTTAATGTAAAATAGGTTCCCTGATATTAACAATTCAAAAGTATCTTATAAGTAGCAAGTATCTAGGAACTTTCAGCATCATAAGTATAACTCAGTTTTTACATAATATTTATGATAATGTTAACAAACAAGAGGCCCATGGGCCACATCGCTCACCTGAGAAGCTTTGACCATTCTGTTCTTTACCAGATTTCCCCCTTGTTATACATATTGTGATCCCACCCTACCCCACTGATCATAATTAAGACAATTTGAAATCTACACTACCTCAGGTTGCTTCCAAATAAATTTCAGCTTTTCTGACCCAGTTGTTCTTGAGAAGAAGATTTTTCCTATATCATAATTTCTATGTAAAACTTTGATTCCCAATTGTGGCCCCACCCTACTTCCTGGGGTCATGATCTGAACAATTTAGAATCTACACTACTGCAGGATGCTTTCACTTAAGTTTCAGCTTTTCTGGTCCAGTGGATCTTGAGAAGAAGATTTTAAAAGATTTTTCCTATGTATTCCTACTTAAAACCTTGATCACCCATTGTGGCCACACTCTACCTCCAGGGGGTCAGGATTTGAACAAACCTGAATCTACACTACCCGAGGATGCTTCCATATATATGCAAACAATCCAAGCTTTGCTGTTTTCAAGGAGATTGATTGATTGATTGTATATTGTTTAACGTCCCTATTAAGAATTTTTCAATCATATGTAGACACCACCACCACTGGAGAGCATCAAATTTTGACCTATAATAGGCAACTCATGGCCATTGAGCAGTGAAGGATCTTTTTCATGCCAGCATTTCTTGTGACAGGGGACCTCCGTTTATACTGTCTCATCTATGTTCCAAAGATCAACTCCTTACTTCGAGACTCTAGTGCAGATCCTCTAACCACTGTGCCACATGAGCAACATTTTCAAGAAGATTTTTAAAGATTTTTCCTATATATTCCTATGTTAAACTTTGATCCCCCCTTTGTGGCCCCACCTACACCAAGGGGTTACAATTTGAACTTGAATCTACATCTCCTTTGACCCCAGATGCATCTACTAACAAAGTTTGCTGATTCAAAGCCAATTACCGTAATTTAGGGAATATAGGTCGATACTTTTTTTCTCAGAACAGCTGGGGTCGATCAATATTCAGAATTCAACCTATTCTAAAGTTTACGAAAAATGCCTCCAAATCAGTAAAATTTACGTCAATTTCAAAGCAATTTTGTGCCACTTTCGTAACTTTTTTGATTAATTATTTTGATTAATTTAATGCCCCGGTAAACAATAAAATATTTATTCTATAGCTTTCTTACAAAATAAGTTCCATTAATTATCCGTTGATGACAAAGGAAAACAACATTGCTTCATCTATTGAATAATTCCTCAAAGTATTATCCATTAACATCATGCAGTATCCATCTTGTGAAGTTAGGAAGTCGCGATCGTGTACTAAAAGTAAAACTGCAACCGTATCAAAATTTAAAATACGGAATTTTTTTTATTGAACAAGTATTTGAGGATTTACAATCAGCAATTGAGTTATAAGTTTGGGTGAAAAAAAAATATATCGTTTCGAAAGATAGCTTAAAGTTTTACAAGCATTTGTGGAATATACATGCGGATGATAAAAATTAATTTTATTGATATGGAATTTACAAGCAAGGAATTTGTAATAAATACGGGTAACAGAAATATAATTTAAGACAGTAATACAATATTAACTAATATTATAAGGTTTATTAAAAGCTTCGTACACAAGAAGTACATTGAATTACCGGTATACAAAGATTGGCTTCTAACAGAATTTTAATTGTCTGACAGATAAAGGGATTTACACTGTACGCAAAGGTGTAAACACCTGTGTTGGTTTAAATGCCTGTGGGGCAGGATTAACAAACCCACGTGCCGTAATAGGGTATTAGTGTTACACATCATTGAACAAACAAAGCCCTGAAATTCATGTTGACAGACAAATTGTGAATGTACTCTCAATTAAATTTATAAATTAAACTTATAGAGTGTTGATATGATTTCAATTCTTTACTGTTGCTTGATATATACATTCAATGGTCATTTGCTTGTTTTAACAAATCCCTGGAGAAGAAATTTAAAAATGGCGGACATCGAAGTAATTGTCATCCACCGGTAAATAATGTCTGAATAAAATTTATTAGGAATATGTCCAAGTTGTTCTGAAATCGGAATTACTATTCTTTGGTCTCGGGTATTTCCCGAATTATATCTGTAAAATAATAACGTATTCACGTGTTATTTATGCCTCTGATTTAACAACAGTGTGAAACTACGGAGGCATTGAACAGGCAATTTGGAGAAAGATAAGTAGTAATACAACTCAAAGGAAATTTTAACTACATTTAAAAAAAAAAAAAAAAAGAACTTTTTTTAATTGCTGTACTCATTAAAATACCTGTTTATTTTCTTGATACGTTCATGTCACAGAATAACCCCGGTAAGAAGAAGGTATGGTTTCCATACAAATTTTGCCTGAGATTTTCAAAATGAAACTGGTGTAAAAGTTGAAAACTCATGCTTTTTAAATAATTGAAATTCAATGCAGAAAAATGATACAAGTAATTTTTCTCATATGTGTTTGTAAATACTAATTATGACGTCATAAACATGTGCATTTTCCCGTTTTTTCTTAATAAGTTGCAGAAGACACCAATTTTCAATGGAATTTTCTTTCAGATAACATTGTCCACAGGCATAGCCCACAAAGATCTCGAGATATGTGATTTGTTATTGAATTTTGCACAAAATATCAAAACATTAACGTGGGCGACGGCTGTGGACACTGTTTTCTAAAGGAAAATCACCCTCGAAATGTGCCATTTTGAGGCTTTTTCTGTTGAAAATAGAGAAATGCTTCACATTGATGACGTCATATTTGCAGAATGGTAAACCTTTATGTCATATTCTTACCTGATTTATCAGAGTCATTTATTTAACTAATATTTAAGCCAGTTTCAAAACTTTTTGATGTCATTACATTTTTAGAGCGCTATAAAGCTAAAACCATACCTTCTTCTTTAGGGGTTTACCTGTTCTGATACGTTGTATCTGTGTAAGAATCTTTAGAAAACGGGAAACAAAGCCTCGTTCTATATAGTAAGTTCGACCTATCTTAGGATTTTTAAAAAATTTAGGCTGAAAATGAGCCTTTCGACCTATATACCCCATCGACCTATAATCCCGAAATTACGGTAGAACCTGAAATATTAAAATTCTAGTATAACAATTAAATTTCTAAAAGTTTGTCATGGTGACCTACTTTCAGACTCTTAGCCAATTAGTACATGGAATATTTAATTATAACCATTAAAATTGAAAAGTATGTCATGACATCCTACTTTTCAGTCAACATATTCTGGAGACCCAAAATGCATTAACTGAGAAAGTTTGATAATACTAAGCTTAATAGTACCCCAAATATTTAAATGCAGCCAAAGAATTTTGAAAGTATGTGATCTTCTTTTCAGCTTAGTTTTTCAAGGACCAAGATGCATCAACTGTTAAAGTTTTGTGATCATAGGTGGTCTTAAAATGAACAGTCAATGCTTTCTGTTACAAATATTCACATTTCTACCCGCAATACCTTCTCAGCTGGCTGTATTTTACAAGTTATATCTTTCAAGACCAAATCTAAACCCTCTCTGTATCGCAAACCATAACTTTCAAACACTATTTCTCCTTTTTGTGGCCATGAAGGATAGGGCTTTGTCTCTGCAATTTCCTTTGGTGCCTAAAAAATATATAAATTTATTTTAATGAAAATTCAGAGATTGTTACAAATTTTTTTTTGCCAAAACATACAGAATCTACATTACCTGAGAATGATTTGCTAAAACATACAGTTAAGAATAATAAACAAAACTAGAGCAAAGCTCGTTGCACAGCAAAGAGTAGGTCTTCCATCCTGTTTTGACGGAAGTGACGTCAACAAAAGAAAACAATGAGCTAAGTCGTCTCCAGTCACTTTATAATTTCAATTTTGCATCAAAACCTTAAAAAATAAGCTATTTTTGGAAGTGATGTCGATGGACGGAAAATTAAGTTTTATGCTTCCAGTGACATATGTTACCCAAAAACTTGTCAAGAACGGCAAAAATATGCATTTTCTGACGACTTCCAATTTGACCAGAAGTGACGTCGCCGGACGCATTTTGACGATTTCAATAGATTAAGCTTGACATTTTGAACAACTTTGCTTCTTGGACATATTACAAATTCTCAATACTTTTTGAGATATCTGGAAAAAAATTTTGGCCCCTCTAGATCCCTTAATTTAGGGGTCAGCCCTTTTTTCGAGACATCATTTAAGAGATCTTGTAATTCTGCACAAATTTTGTTTTATATGTTTTCACAAAATATTTTTAGTTTAGAAGAAGATAAAAAGCAAAATATGTGCAAATTTTTGCTCTTTTAGGCGTTCTAATTTTTGACCCCTATATAGCACCATTTTGAATAGAGAAATCGAAAAACAAAAACCGCTATGCACAACTTCAGTCCTTCTATTCTGTAAAATCGGTAAAATTTCTGCTCCAGCTTTTGCCATCTCCGAACCTTTGTCTGGAAATGAAAGCCTATAAAGGGAAATAACTCAAAACCGGAAGTGAATTTTTGGAATGTTAGACAAAATTCTGATAGAGTTTAGTAACGTCTATAAACTCTGAAAATTTGAGCAAAATCCATTGAGAAATGAGTGAAATATGAGGCCTCAAAGTTGGTGTCTAGGAAAAGGAAAAAAAAAAAGAATAATAAGAACTAGAGCTGAGCTCATTGCAAAGCAACGAATAGGTATTCCGTCCTGTTTGACCGGAAGTAACTTTTATTTAAAAAAAAAAAGAAAAATGACGTTTCTAATGATTTCAATCTTCAAAATCTATGTTGATAATTGCAAAAGTAAGCAATTTTTGTTACTTCCTGTTCGACCGGAAGTGACATCAACGTACGGAAAATTAAGTTTTATACTTCCAGTGATAAATATTTCCCAAAAACGTGTCAAGAATGGCAAAAATATGCATTTTCTGACTACTTCCGGTTTGGCCAGAAGTGACGTCACAGGATCTTTAAATTGTTCTGTTATTATTAATTTAGATTTCTGACATGGTATTTTAAGTACTAACAGAAATATAGTGATTTTTCTCTGATGCAATTCCCGTGAAAACGACTGTGAAAATGACTTCTCCTGAATTGACGGCACACCACACTTTTGTTAAATTATGTGTAATGCTCGAGATATCGCTTACATAGATCCAAAATATGCATGATAAAACATGTAGTAAACTCTAAGTGTATTGGTGACATTCGTCTTCAAATAGCAAATTGAAATTTTAGACCATTAGACCTCTGTAAAAAGGTTATACGGGAGAACGGGAAGAAGATATTCGACGAAAACTTTACCCAGACTGTAAAGAACGTGATTGAGAGTCACCAATATCACACTATATCTCATAAATACCTGCAGTTTTTGGTTTTAAAACAAAAAAGAATATATTCTTTACTAGTTTACTAAATTTTAAGCTTGACAAGAAATGGTGTTTGGATGTTGAGTAGATAAGGTAACTCAAACTGTACGGGAACTCTTGGAAAAATGTTGAGAAAATGAAAGCTCAATCACATATTTTTTATAATGCCCGTGACGTCGAAGATTTTGCTGCTCTGTGACTTAAATTATATGTCTTGAAAAATCACTCAGAATTGACACCAATTTTCAACATTTTGATGTGAAATTTTCATATAAGTAAAGATTCTTTTATATTATGTGTGACATTTTGCCCGATTATGTCGTCAAATATTTTTTTCTGTGCAGCAAGTCCATGTAATTTTTGAACGGCCCTCTTAGTATTACTCATCTTATATCATAGTTTGTGTAAAAAGTCTATTGTAGTATTTGTATAATATGCACTTATCCACTGGCTGTGAGTGGGATAGCTGTTTTATCAAACCCTTAACAGGAACTATTCCCCAAGGGCTTGCCAGCCGTGATTGCTGGTTGCCCATAATTTACAACTGTTTTACATACATGTATTACATACAAATATATTTTGTAATGCAGAAACACACAAAACTACCAGTCCACTTCTTTACATGACAGCAAAATGTTTAAAATTCTAGTGCACCCTTTACCCCCCCCCCCCCCCCCCCATTCACACTCAGACCCCGCTTCTACTACGATCAAAGCGTGGCCGAAAACTTGGCCGATCATGACAAATCGCAGGAGAAAAGTGTAGTATGATCGCAGTATGGTCTTCATGATCGGAGAGCTCTAGGCTCTCGCCATGCTTATTTTGAACATATTCAAAACAAGCATAGTGGGATCGTGGTTAACAGGACTTTGAAGTCATAAGAAGAGCGTAATAGAAGCGCTGTAATCATACAAGCAGCGCATAGGCAACATGGAAAAGTTTTAGATTTATTGCTCTGTATGTGACATGCAGATCAGTGTCAAAATTACCTCTGTTGGAATCTCTGAGTATTCTTTCACTCTCTCTACAGCAACAATATTGGTTTCCAATTCTGTGGTCATTCTTACAAGCCAGTTGAGAGTTTGTGTGACCTGGGGAAAAAATACATTTTGTCTCAGTACATATATAGACTAGTAGTTTAATGTAAAACTTGGATTTTCTATTGTGACCCCCCCCCCCCCCCCCACCCCACCCCTTCATACTACACTACCTGAGGATGCATATATGTCCAATCACAGCAGCTTTGCAGTTCTCGAGAAGATTTTTGCTTTTTATTACAATGTAAAACTTTGATCTCTGATTGTGGCCCCACCCTTAATCCTCAGGTGGTCATAATTTGAACAAAGACCTTTATGCGGTAATGACTAATATTTGCCCCCATAATCAAACTTTGATGAAGAAATATATAATAATGTTCCAAAACATGGGGATATCTGCAAACTTCAAAGCACTGAATATTTTCATAAGTCATGACATCATATGTTTGATATGACATCAGGAAAATGACATACATTAAAAGAACAAGATATGGTATCGGCCAAAAAAATGCAGTGTTTCACATATTTTCCGTTCAAAACATTTTAAAAAGCTTAGGATTTTCAGAATTTTAAAATAGTATATATATAATTTATATCCATGCATCAGATTCAAATATATATGCATTGAAAAATAACATTTAATACTGTCCCTTTCATATCGTCAAGATTTTTTAAAGCATTCTGATGCAACTTCATATATATGTTTAACGTACAGAAGGAGTATTCGGAAAATTGAAACTTACTTGTTAGGACTTATATATGTTAAAGAAAACAATTTGTTGATTTTTTAAATACGTGGTTGTTTTTTAGTTTAATTCAATTTCATGGAAGACCTTATAGTTTAGGTCTTCCAACTTAACTCCTTCAGAAGACTTTATTGTTTTTGTTCTGTTTTCTATTAAGGTCTTCCGTCTTTACGGAAGACCATATAGTCAAGCGGCATAGCTGAACATTTTCAATTGATTGTGCATTTTGTGATAAAAGTGTCAGATTAAGTTTATCGGTAGAGTAATAAATTACAAACATTTTTGGATATTGGGCCACTTCATTGGTCAATCATAAACAATTTTGGCAGCCATTTTTCAAAATGGCTGTCATACGCCACAATTAAAAACATTTTTTCATACCAATTGTTAGTCCATTATTTATACACTGAATTGACGACGGATTTTTTTCCGTTATTTCCTGATCATGACAAGGAGCACACGGCGGGTGTGACCGATCGGCAGGAGATGCTCACTCCACCATGGCACCTGATCCCACCTCTGATGTTTCGGGGTCCGTGTTTGCTCTTCTTTAATTTTGTATTGTTTTATGGACTTTGAGATTGAATACTGTTCGTTATGTCCATATCCTTCCATACTTCCGTAAAACTATAGTAACTACTGGATTAAAAAGTTTTTAAATACTTCTGTATGTGTGCACATAACTTTTAAGCTCACCCGTGCAAGCAAGCCATTTTGTACTTTAACTGTCTTAGAGTTTGTCATCGTTAAAATTTCAATTCTTTTATACTAGTATTTTGTAAAATTTCTGGTCCAAGTAAACTGAAGCATTGGATTGAGTGAAGATCGTTTTACTCTAGTAACGCTTCCTCTGTTTAAGGAGAGATAACATAGCAATAAACACTTCTTAAAAATCATGGCGCCTGGTGGTAGAGGGGGCTACAAAGTGGTATGAATATCTAGGAAAAAAACTAACACTTTTTTTCTAAGGAACACAGAGCTTGGTTTATATAAAGATATGCTAACATCCTATGAATAAAAAAAACATATTCTAGAATTTGTTGTATTCAACTTTCATATATTCCTATGTAAGACTTTGAATATGTTTTTTTTATTTTGCTTGAATGGAAACATTTCCAACTTGCGTAAATTCAGGTTTTTAATAACAAATTTTGGACAGATCATGCAGCAAGTTCATCCAGTCACCTTTCAAAAATAAATATAACGATTATTTGAACAGATATACTTTTCTTACACATATTCTGTGATTGTTATTCGAAATAAGTTCAACAGCATATCGTCTCTGCCTTGTGTATACCACGTATACCATTATTTCACTGAGTTGTCTACGGATATTTGCGTTTACCCATCAAGACAAGGAGCACACAGCTACATGACCGATCAACAGGGGATGCTTACTTCCCTTTAGTAGTTGATCCAAACTCTGATGTTTTTAGAGGTTCTTGTTTGCTGACAGCTCCAAAATTTTGTGTTTTCTGACTGATCCAAATTAGTAGCATTCCAATGGGTATTTCAGATTGATTACGTATGCATTGACCTTCAGAAAAGTCTACAGCTTTGATCACTTTCAGCTCTTACAGAACTTGCAATCTGTTGTCTATTTTTACGTCTAAGCGAAACATTAGAACACCCCAAAGTAAGCAATGAAGAAATGGATATCAAGAGAGTGCATATATGTACTTCTCATCGATCTGATTCAAACTCTTATGAATGTACATATCAAGAATGACAAAGAGTCTCATCAGCTCTTCTCTTATGGAAAGTAGCTGGACCAGAGATTAAATACAGGAGTTTCAAGATGGCCCAACAGAAAAAGAATGTCTTCAATATCTTATTCCAAGTCCACCTAGTTTGTTTGTTACAGGTGTTTGATCTCCTTTTTGATCAACGACTAGCAATCCTGACTGTGAAAAATAGAGCTACATGTATGACCTCTTATTTCGAATTTTATTGAGCTTGCAGACTATTGGTATTCTGTGGAAAGTGTGGAGAGAATCGGAAAGATAACTTTAAAATATTTAGTGAGAGAAAGTCTTTATTCGGTTCAGACTTATTTCTATTCATCTCTAACACCTCTAAAACATAAAATCCATTGAGTAACCGGATAGAAGGGTTTGCCATCACTGAGATGTGATAAAAATATCCTCTCTAGATTGTCCTTCAAATAAAACAACGAACCTCAAAGATTTCTTTTAACATAAGTACCAGTATCAAGCTCCTCTCCATTCTTCGGGGTTTCATTCTTTGGAGGATGTATTCTACGATTTGCTTCTATGCTTGTAGAGTTTTCAAAAAGGATATGTAGCCCGAGCCTCAAATGACAAACTATATACTGTAAATGTAGATCACTAAATTTTCGGCACACCTTATTTTTGCAAGATAGGCATTGACTCTTGACAAGCAAAACACAATTTTCACGAATTGTGGTTATTGTTCAATAAAATCATACGTTTCCCGAGCAAACTGTCTCGCGTAATTACGCGTAAATAAAGTTCTGGCGAAAAAAGTGATTTAAAGACTTTAGATGGTTTATATCATTGTATGAATAGTCAACAGATCTTCCTTCGATCAAAATTTTAGCAAATTCAAAGAATTTCGCGTTAGATTTTAGTTTTAAAAAGGTGAAGGAATGTTTGGAATATACTTACCTTTTTCTCATCTTACGACATAGTGGCATAGTACAGCTTTTTATGTTAGAAAGTGATGTCATATGCATATATTTCATTAAAAGCACAAAACATTTTTTTTAAAATAGTAATTCATATAGTGTTTTTATTATCTTAAACCATGATAGTAGGTGAAATCTGTGAAAGAAGTTAGGAAATATCAACCATAAATGTAATTTCTAGAGGCCATTTTATAAAATGGCTGCCATGGCCGCGAGGGCGGGATTCTGCGATGGCCCAATATTCAGATTTATTTATATTGTGAATGTCTATATTTGTGCCAAAAATGGTGCTTTTATCACAAAATGCACAATAGGTTCCCTATGCCGCCGTACTAATAGTGATTCTACTGTTTCTAATTAAGATCTTCGGACTCGATCTTCACTTCATTGTGATGTTTAACATTTTTGTAAGTTTTTCAATTTTGTTCAATTCTTGTTTTTGGTATTGTTTTAACCCTTTGATATTTTATATATTTTCAGATATTGGAGGAAATGCAAACAGCTATTCTCAAGAAAATTCTATTTTAGTTTTTCTTTTGCCTATTTTAATAAATAATAAAAATTATGTAGATTTTATTTATATCTTTGTTGGTTATTACATCAATATTTTATTACATTAAACTTGAATAGAAATTTAAAGCACTAGGCTTTTAAAAAAAATAGAATGTAGGGTTTTTAAGAAAATAAATAAAATATTTTAATATTTCCAAAAAATAAAGTGAAATACTTTGGAGCCCTATTTTATCGGATATTGAGCCTATCATTACAAAAAAAAAATCCATGGAACAAAAATCAATTATATTTCATAGGTGTAGAGATCTGCCTTAACCCCTTAATGGCCAAGTGCGCCTTTTGACGCACTTTCAGCATCACAGTGATTTAACTGTTTGCGTTTTGTAAGTAATCGTGATACAACAAAACAGTTGATATTTTCTGAAACTAGAGAACTAACACAACAAGTTTTCTATTATCAGTTTTTCTCTGCGATGTTAAGAAATTATTGTAAACTTGAATTGAACATTGAATATAATTGCGGGAAGTTAGTATAATTACGCATAAATGAGTGATTTTGTGCTAGCTTCTGTAGGCTGTATATCTCACTTACAGCACACGATAAAAAAAAATGAATGCCATATCCTAAAAGCGGGTAATTTTCCCTACATTTTCTCTATTGGACATTGAAAGGTACGAGTATCCGTTACAGAAATATTTGCTGTTGAATATTGGAACTTTTTTGAGTAAGAAAAAGAAATGCACTATGACGTCATGTAACGTTTTACGTGTACACAATGAAATCATTCATAAGCTCGGTGTAAAATAAATCGATTCTTCTAATATAAGGAACAGATTTATTTTTGAAAGGAATTATTTATAAAAAAGAGTTAATATACGAAACGTTTTGAGCCATAAACATGTAATAAAGGGAATTTTCATTAGCTTTAGAACATAAGTGATAGTTCTTGACCCAACGCCCCAATATCGCGCACCCACTGTTTCAGAAATCCCTGTCGAATTTTGTGTCATTCCTACATGTAGTAGGAATAATTAATCAAGTAATCAGGTATTGTCGTTACCATTTTCATACTTTTCGGATTTGTCATTAAAAGTTAAAAAATATATACAAGCTTATAAATCTTTTT